AAGGAATAACAAGTGTAATATCCACTAAAGCAAAGCTTGAGTATATAACACCAACAGAACCCTGTCAAATGAAGCTCCGGATCGGCAGTAAACTGTCGGCGCCGTTGAAGGCCAAGTTAACCAGATTCCTTAGGAAAAACGTAGACGTTTTCTCGTGGACCCACGAGGACATGGTCGGTGTTGACCTGAAGCTCGCCTGCCATAGGCTGCAGGTCGACCCCACGGTCAGGCCCGTTGTCCAAAGGCGGAGGAAGCTGGGCCCAGACCGGCAACAGTCTCTCGAAGAAGAGGTGATCAAGCTCAAGGACAATGACTACATTCGAGAGGTCCGGTACCCGACCTGGGTGGCTAACCCGGTACTCGTGAAGAAGGCTACCGGGGCATGGCGCCTTTGCATCGACTTTTCCGACCTCAACAAGGCATGCCCCAAGGATAGCTACCCCCTGACCCACATCGACTACATGGTCGATGCCACTTCGGGGCACGAACTGATGAGCTTCATGGATGCATACTCCGGCTATAATCAGATTTCGATGCACCCGGACGACACCGAACACACCTCTTTCTACTCGTCTCGCGGACTGTGCTACACCATGATGCCGTTTGGACTAAAGAATGCCGGGGCCACCTATCAACGCTTAGTCAATAAAATGTTCGCTAGTTTGATAGGTGTTAGTATGGAAGTGTATGTAGATGACATGGTAGTCAAATCCGTGTACACATCCGACCATGTTAATGACCTCAATAAAATATTTTATATTTTGCGTGATTACAACATGAAGTTAAATCCCAAAAAATGTACCTTTGGTGTCGGCTCGGAAAAATTTTTGGGCTACCTCGTTAGCCAGCACGGCATCGACGCCAACCCTGAAAAGATTAAAGCCGTTCAAGACCTTCGAGCGCCAACCTCAATCAAAGGAGTCCAGAGTCTGACCGGCAAACTTGCCATGCTCAGTCGATTCATCTTGAAGTCGACAGACCGGTGTAAACCGTTCTTCGATGCGATCAAGAAGAATCACAAGTTCGAGTGGACCCTAGAGTGTCAGCGAGCGTTGGAGGCTGTCAAGGGGACCCTGTGCCAAGCTCCAACCATGCAGAAACCCAGACCTGGAGAGATGCTATTTCTTTATCTAGGAGTTTCCGATGTGGCAATCAGCACCGCCCTCATCCGATAGAACGAATCCTCTCAACACCCAGTTTACTACGTAAGTAAGGCACTCCACGACCCCGAGCTACGATACCCGCCAATGGAGAAACTCGCATTCGCCTTAGTGACCGCTGCGCGGAAACTTAGGCCATACTTTCTTAAATATTCAATAACCGTGCTCACCGCCTACCCGCTGAGACAGATTCTTCACGGGCCTGACAGGTCAGGATGGATGGTAAAGTGGACGGTGGAGCTGGGGCAATATGACATTCATTACCGACCCCGAACAACAATAAAGGGGCAGGTACTATCAGAATTCATAGCCGAATTCATGCAGGGACTTAAAGAGACTACAAGCGAGCTGCCGTGGGTAATGTACGTGGACTGATCCTCTACTGCCGGATGAGCAGGCGGAGAAGTCGTCCTTGTAGATCCCCACAAGAAGCTCTTTTGTCATTCGATAAAATATCTCTTCCCGGTGACCAACAACGAAATTG